TTTTTCATGTTTATTTCATTTATAAGTTACACTTTCTGAATAAAACTACTCAATTCACGTTTCTGTGATCTCATTTATTGAAATGCATGAGCGTATATTTCATTTCCAGTGTCACCCTAACTCCTTTGTGGTTTTAGCCCAGGCACTTAAAACAGGAGAGCAACTGTTGCCACGGGAACAAAAATCTCACACATGGCCCACCTTGAGGTATCCAGTCCGACTTTGGCTTTTATTTTGGTGGTGAGCCAAGGTGGAGAAGGCGACGTCTTTCACCAGCTGCTGAAACTTCTCATTGCGGGCGACAAAGTCTGTCTCGCAGTTGACCTGCGTCGCAAACATTGAAAACACATCTGTGACCAGAAAAGCTTCGGAAAGGCGAGTTCTTCAACAAAGAGCATGGGATGCGTTGGACAGGGGAAAACATGCAAATGAATTGTGAGATGTGAATGTGCAAGCGATGACTCTACCTCGACCATGACTGCAACTTGGTCTCTCATCAAGAGACCAATGAGGCCCTCTCCGGCTTTGCGACCCTCCAGCTTGCTCGCTTTGCTCCAACCTTCTTTCTGGGCCTGCTCGTGCAGCCAAGCCTCTGCCTGATACATATAGTTGGAGAACACACACAGTCATGAAAGAGCACAGCCCCAACCAAGAGCATCACGTGCGGTCAAGAAATCGGAACGCAAACCTGTGCAATGTCATTGTCAAACTTCTCCAGCGCTTTCTTGCAGTTAATAAAGGTGTAGCCGGTGCTTTTTCTCAGTTTGACCAGGAGGCTCTTGTCAGCTGCCAGAAGACGATGACATGCTGTGTGCAAAGGGTGCCGGCTGACCTGAAGGTGACAAGGGATCGCGCAAAAACGTTACGCCCATCTTCCAGTGTCCTTGTCGTAAACCAGCGCCAAGTGGACATAACACAATCATCCATTTATTTTGTTCAAACGTGAAATGGTATGCCAATTAAACGTTTCTGGGAAACAGCCACTTCATGCACGTCGGTACACGGACTACCAAGTAGGCGAACGAACAAACCACCTAGTCAAAAGCTTACGGTAGCAAAGGAAAATACTTTCAGAAATTGATCTCAGTCCACTCACCTTTGCCAAATCTTTACTGAGAGTCCTGAATAA